AAGGTCCTCCCGCTCCTCCGGCTCAAGGTCCTCCCGCTCCTCCTGCCGAGGCTCCTCCCGCGCCTCCCGCGAAGACCTACCCACCGGAGGCTCCTCCCGCTCCCCCGGCCAAGACCTACCCGGTCGAGGCCCCGCCTGCCATGACCTACCCCGCCCAGGGCCCTCCTGCACCCCCCGCCGGCGTGCCATCCACCAGCTTCGCCACCAAGCCCGTGGGAACCGCCCCAGGCGCCCCAAGCCCCACCGCCAGCCAATACACCTTCACCGGCGCCGCCTCCACCCTCCAGGTCGGCTCGGTGGGACTCCTCAGTCTCGCTGCCTTCGTCTTCTTGCTGTAAGCAAGTTCGTCGCACGGGAGGCTCTAGTGTCGTGGATCATGCAACGCGGAACGCCGGATACCCCATTCCTAGATGGCGGCCTCGAAGATACCCCTCTTCTCCATCGGCGAACCCTTGTCTCTTATTACCTCCTTCTCCAACCCGCACCCGGGTTCCCATTTTAAAAAAGCGTTTCTTCTCTCCTTTGTTCACATCTTTCTTTTCTTTTCTCCTGTATTTTGGAAAGGGGGCGGCGGGAGGCGTGGCCGGGGGGGGGGGGCACGGCCAATATCGGAGAGGGGGCGAAACCCCGCTCTCCTGTTTCTTTCCAAATACCATACCATAACCTAGATATGTAATCACCAAACCGGATCCAAACCATACCAAATCGACCCCTTGTTATATATAGATGTACAGATTTTGGAACTGCGTATTGGAGGGCGCGGGGCGGCGGTGGGGGTGGGCGCCAGCTTAATTATTCAGCGGATTGTAATAGAAGAGAGATCGATCCAGCCCCTTATCAATCGCTCCGATCTTAGATAATTAGCAGCAAATGCAAATTTTTTTTTGTCGCCCACCATTGGTTCCCTCTGCTTCTGTGCGAGTGTGAGTGAGGTGTGTTTGTCGACTTGGTGTGGGTTTGATCGTGGGAGGCTTTATTTACTTACCTGTTGATTCTTCGCTGCCACGTACCTACCTAGGTATACATTTCTTTCCCTGCTGTATATAGCTCCGTCCGAGCACGTCCCGTCGTTCGCTGTCTTTGGTGTTCGGGAGTTTGTTCTCTTGAGCTCTCTCTCTCTCTGTCTCTGTGCTCTGTGTCTTTCTCTTCTCCTCCTCGCGGAAAAGAAGTCATGGCACTCTTTTCTTAATGGTGGAGACGGGCTGTGTGGATGTATGTATGTACGTATGTATATAGGTATGTATGTAGGTATGTAAGTAGGTAGTATTGCTAGCTAAGGAAAAAAAAAAAAAAAAAACATCTCCTCAAGATATGCATACATACATACATATATACACAAACATACCTGGGCAAGGGACTGAACGCCGCCCAAGCGCTCGTACATCCACCCATCCACCCATCCACACATCCACACATCCACCATTCTACAAGCCGACATACGCAACACCTCTCTCTACCCCTT